CGGCCGGGGCCGGGGCCGCCCTCGGGGAACCCGACGCTCGACTCGGCCCGCCTGGCGGGGCGGACGCCTGTCTCCGCGGGCCGAAGCCTCTGGAACCGCGGAGGCCCACTTTGGATCGGTCTCGCAGGTCCTCTTCCTCGGGCCCTCCTTTTTCCTTGGCATAAACTTGAAACTGTCAGCAGATCGTATGTTATTAAAGTGGGATTTTATGACAATTCGCGGTGGTGGTTGTAGAGGGGACCGCACTAAATGTAAAAACCGTGCGTATCGCAGAAGGGACTTGAACTCCGCAGAAATGCCGCTTTTCGAAACATGAAGCCTCAGAGAATGGCCCGCATTGGAACTTAGCAAACATTTAACTAGGAGCATGACTGTGTAGGGCGCATAGCTAAGAGCAAGACTCTGGAGCCAAGCTGTTGAGTTGGAATCCCCAGTCTGCTATTTATTCGCTGAGCAACCTTGAGCAAGCTGCTCTACCTGCTTCTGTTTCCTCCTCTTTAAAATGGGCTGCTGTGCTACTGAGTGGTCTTTCACAGAAACAAAGAACTGAGTACCACATGTTCTCACTCATAAATGGACCTTGAACAATTATGGTAATACTATAAGAAAGGGATTGGCAGCAGTGGGAAACTGGGGCCGGGGAAGGCGAGATTGGCAATAGGGGAAAACTGCCAGGGGAAGGGGATGGCACACCTACCTCATCAACAAGGGTACCTGCATAATGAACATTTGGATTCCTAACCCGGAATTGTACCTGCATCTTTAATAAAATAATTTTGAAGAAGGGTTGCTGTGATGACTTAATAAGATAATATATGTAAATAATTTTCTGAATAGTCTGATTCATTTAATCTTCACAATCACCCGGGAGATAGCGTCCTTATTTTCCTGATGCCCAGACTGAGGCACAGAGAGGTGAAATTACTCCTTAAGTCACAGCACAACTATTGACCAGGAATTAAGCCCAGGCAGTCTGACCCCAGTTGTCCACAATTTTACCCATGAGTTGCCTCTTGAACTTGTTTGTTCATTCAATTTCAATTGACAAATACTGATTTTGTTCCTCTGTGGACCAAGTTGTTTATTTTTTTGAGTTGGAGACTCACTCTGTCACCCAGGCTGGAGTGCAGTGGCCGCTCCCGGCCACCACAGCCTTGACCTGCTG